CTGAACTTACCCAGGCAAAATTCCTTGTGCATTCCTTGCACATGCCAAATGCAATGATATGATAGGAATGTGAGCTCAGAAATTGGTTAGTGACCATCAAAATTCAAGACAAGCTTTTTATCAATGCTGGGAGGGAACTTAAGCATCTTAAAAACTAAAAAGAGAAAGACTCACTGTCAAGAAGCTATAATTAATAATACAGAAGAACTTATGGTGTAGGAATTAAGTTGGGACAGCATCTAGATGACAGGTAGAGGACTAAAAGTGAGATGCTGTCTCCGCTAGGAATGGTTTCAAACCACCCAGCACAGCAGAGTACTCAGAAATAATAGATAGGACCCCATTAGCGGGGAAGCTCTGGGTGATGTTCCTAACTTTTTTTTTTAAAGAAGAAAAGTAAGAAAAAAATACAGAAAAAGTATTTTTCATACTTCTCAGGGAAGATTTTTTTTAGTGGGAGGAGCTTAAAATATATGGCATCACGTTGAAAAGCGCTGTACAGCTGTGGTGATCTTGCCATTATGCTTTTCTTTTCACACCTTGAAGTGGGTCACCTACACAGGTCACTGGACACAGGACAACCCTTTTACATGGATGTTTGACTGGTGTCTGACCTGATGAGCTCTAATCAGCCGGTCATTGTTCAGGCAACCAGATAGTGTTCTAGTCAAACAGCTTCCTACCACTCTGACTGATGCCGTGGTTCTAGGGATGGCGATGTCAACCTGTCAGTTTGTTGGTCAGTCCACCACTTTGGTCCAGACTTAATTATCTCAACAAGTATTGGTTTGATTGATTGAATCTTATTGACTTTAGAATCCCCTGACCTTTCCTCTAGTGCCCCCATGATGTTGACATTCAGAGGTTTTGAGTGAAATGTCTCAACATCTTTTGGATGGATTACCATGAACTTTTGTGAGGACATTTGTGTCACCCTTAGCATGAATAGGCCTTTTTCATAGCAGCCATTTTGGCATGAAATAGTAGGGTAAACACAGGTTTTACTAATGACACTAATTAAGGTTCCATTCAATGTAGCAGAGCCTTTCCAGTAAGCTTACATACATAATAACAGCACCCTAGCTCTGTTTGACCTTAACAGAACAGAACCTTAATTAGTCTCATTGGTAAAACACCTGTTTTTACCGTACTATTTCATGTCAAAGTGGCTGCTGTGAAAAGGTCTATTGTAACAACTTTGTCAAAATTTCCTTTTTTTGTCACAATCAGGTCAAAGTTTTACCCTGTCTGAAACTGGTTGAGGGTTCAAGATCAACTACATGCAAAAGTAATTCAATTTTCAATAAAAAAAAAAATTTATAGCACCGATCGTGTAACAGAAATTATCTCAGGACACTTTTCATATAGTCAGGTCTAGACCAAAGTATTATATTTTATAAAGAGTACGGTCAACTCTTTCTTTGTTTCATTCTCCACTTTATTTATTGTTTAGGCCAATACTTTCTAAGCTCCACCCCAGTCATGGTTTGTCAGTGCTATTTAGCTCTCAGAAGGGAACCAACATGCTGACAATAATGCCTGACTGTCATTTCCCTTCAGATGCGTTTGAATTACATTTGACATTTGTTTTGAGATTGTTTGGTTGAGGGAACGGTGCATTAAAAATGTAGTTTGAAACACACATTTGTTTCTGAGACAACACAGTGCAAGCACAGACTTCACTTATTTGAAACATTAATCCAGGATGATGAAACATTTAATAAAGCTGCAGCAAGACTCTAAAATTGATTAAAACACACTGACACATGTTTGATTCACCATGCATACACAACAGATGATGAAGACATCAGCTGCATATTTAAAATGTCATGACTCATATTTCCTTGTGCAAGACTCTGCTGCCAAAAGGTTAAAAATGTCTCCAGCTGTGTCTGACTGTTCAACTTTTTGTTCACATGCACATGAACTTTTGTTACCCTTTTGAAAGTGTGATATTTGGACTTGTCAAGTGACAATAATATGTAGACATATTGAATAAAGGAACCACTTCAGTTATGCGGGTTGAGACTAAGATGGAGAAAAAGGAGCCATCAATAAATGTAAAAGTGCGAGTAAATGTGATGAAAGTTTTGACTTGAAACAGACAGATCAAGTCACATCTAGCAGGGTACACACTTGTGGTTCCATGGCTGCACGTCCTTTTTGGCTCCATTGCGGTTCCACACCTTGACCTTCTTTCTAATTAGAATCAGATATGTGCCTATAATGAGTGTAATGTAGCTTGATGGAGTTATGGCAGCGAAAAGACGGCTGGCGTTAAATGGTGCCTAACGGAAGGTACTGTAAGGCATGTGAGCTGATGCGTGATAGATGTCATGCGCTTGGATGGCGATGGGAGCGAAAATCAAATCACGTAGTGGGGGAAATTCTGCCTGCATTTACCTTGAGAAAGAGTAAATGCAAGACAAATGGTGTATGCATCTGTTTGGTGAAAACATCATACATTTGCATCTCACTGAAGGTGTCTCCCATTTCTTAGTTTTCCGCTTGTTTCACAAAATCTACTACTGTTCTTTCTAGCAGTGCTTTATTTCTTTTTTTTCACTCTCCCTTGCTCTTTTCAGCTTTTCTTTTGCTGAGTCTCAACTCTTCAGGGATTCACACAGAGAAATCAATTTTGCTTGGCCTCTTTGCCTTTGGAAGGGAACATAGGCATATATAAATATTCACATGCGGCTATTTCAGATCCTCAGCTTAGGGACTGAACTAGTGGATGAGCTGTTCTTCTGTTTGATCATGAAGCCTGTATACATGCATCTCTATGGATGATTTCCCTCGTTCTCTCATGTGCATTTATTTTCCCCCACTACCTTGTTTTTTCCCTTAATTCCTTCCTTCCTTAACGTTTCACATTTCCCTGATCGTTCTCAAGAGCATCTTGATTTCTTGCCTCCTATCGCTTTCCCTTGTCAACTTAAGTCCTGGTCTCCTTTCTTTTCTCTCAGCTCTATTCCTTTTACTCCTCTTCCCTTCTGTTATTAGTTGTTCCCTTCCTTTGTTCTCCTTATCATTTCTTCCCCCAATCTTTTACCTTTTGTTTTCCCTTCCCTCCTCACTTATTATCTTATATTCTTAGTCCTCAACTTCCTCGAGCCTTTACTACTATTTTTCTTCCTAACTTATTTCTTAATTTCTTCTAACTCTTCTGTCTTCCTTTAGTACTTTCTGCCACCTTTCTCCCTTTATTCTTTCATGCCTTCACCTGTCTTCTTCCTTACTAAGATCCTCCCATGTTTCATCAGGGCGGCAGTAGCTCAGCGTGTAGGGACTTGGCTTGGGAACCGGAGGTTTGCCAGTTTCACTTCCTGTGCACTGCCGAGGTGTCCTTGAGCAAGGCAACCTGCTGTTAACGTTGCAGCCCCATCACTCCACCATCTCTCTCCCCTTTGCATGTCCACAAGTGCATGAAGTGTGTATTTCAGCCTGTGTGTGTGTGTGTGTGTGTGTGTGTGTGTGTGTGTGTGTGTGTGTTTGTGTAAAAAGAGTGAAAAGAACAATTTCCCCTAGGGGATCAATAAAGTATGTCTTCTTCTTGTATCTTCAATGTTGCTTTCTTTTTACTTTTATTAATTCTTACTTTCCTCAGTACTTTATATAGATATATATATAAACACACCTTTATTTTAAGTCCCTTCATATTTAAAGTGCCTTTAGGTGTGTGAGATATTTTATATTCTTCCATATACCTCTGCTAGCTACTAGCTGTTATTGATAACTGTGTGATTTAGAATTCCATTTCATTGTGTAAACAAGTATTGTCTTTATCTATCTTTTTAATGTCTATTTATTCTTAGGAATTGGAATATTATTCTCTTTTGTATATATATGTTTAATTTATATATTTAATATATATTTTGCACTACGTGGTTCAGGGAGATGCTCTTGAACAACAATAAAGATACTTGAACTCATTGACACCGAAGCTCTGTGCCCTAATTTAAATGCTCTTCATCTCATGTAGTGTCTCTACATGGATGAACACATGTAGTGGGACTGTCATTTCGCTTGAGACACACACAGTGATTGACCGAACACAACTTGGAGCTGATACTGCAGCCACCCATATTATGCCCACTTCCTCTCCCCTGGCTTCTGGTCTGTTTGGTACTGATAACTATTTCATGGATTTATTTTGCAGATATCTCCACCCCTCTGCCTTTAAATCATTGTGGTTTTCCTTCCTCTTTCTTTCTTTCTTTCTTTCTTTCTTTCTTTCTTTCTTTCTTTCTTTCTTTCTTTCTTTCTCTCTCTCTCTCTCTCTCTCTCTCTCTCTCTCTCTCTCTCTCTCTCTCACACCCCCCCAATTGTCAGCTTTGTTTTACAAACAGAGCAGTGATATTGTCTCTCTGAGGCACACCTCTTCCCCTGCCCTAGCCGGCTGTCAGGCTGGATCTGCCGTGACAGTGGGCATACTTTGTACACTGGAGAAACACGCACATATAGCACACAAACACACGCAGACTGAGAACACTTCCGTGCAGAGTGCAAACACGCATGGTTGAATATGAAAACTGTGCAAACAATCAAAGTAGATGGAGCACACGCTAGCACTCACTTTGACCTCACCTTGACCTGACACAAGACACCTCCCTTGCACCCTCACAGCTAACACAGCTCGACAGGTGTATTTGTGAGTTTGTGTGTGCGTGCGTGTGCTTACAGTCATTCTGATGCATATTTTATATGAGGCTGCTGAGTGTATGAGTGAAACTAGGACATGAAGGAGGCCAAAATATACCCTGGTTAAATCTGGGTGTGTTTCTTTCCCTGCAGTAGATGAATTTGTGTACTTATTCCATTACCTTTTTTTTTTTTTTTTTTTTACTTTTTAACCATTTTTCTTTCATTGCCTTATCATTCAGCTTCAGGGCTCATTTTGGAGGTCTGTCTATTAGCCACACTCACAAGTATACACGCACAGACAGATGTGCATATGTGCTAACAAAAGGGAGGTAAACAAACAGAGACCACCTCAGCCATTTGAGGACACTTTCTGTTTAATGTTATTTATAAACAGCTTTTGAGTCTGGCATTGTTTGATAACCACATACAAAACATTTGGGTTGCACAAATGAAGAGAGAGGAGAGGGAAAGAATAAGGAGATAGAGGGGGGAAGGAGGGAGCAGCGAGGGTGGAAGAGAAAGCAGTAGAGAAGGTGAAGAGGGAGTGAGAGAATAAGCAGACAGACAGGGAGGGAGGGAGGGAGGGAGGGAGGTGAGGTGATGGAGGGAGGGAGGGAAAGACAGAGGGATGAATAGGTGCATAGAAAAAATAGGAGGAGCAGAAGGGGGACAGTGCAATGTACTGTTTATCTTGAATGAGTCAGAAAAACCAAAAAAAGACAGAATAAAAAAAATGAAAATAATGATAATAATCATTTCAAATAAAAAATAAAGTTCCAGCCCCCAGCTCCCTGTTTATTTTTTTTAGGGAGCTACCGAGACACAACAGAGTTTCTCTTTTTTTTTCCTTTTCTTTTCTTTCTTTCTTTTTTTTTCATTTTATTTCTTTTTACAAAAAGTCATCCTCACAGGAATAAACAGACACAATTTACATCACCTCTGGGTTCACAGCAGCACAAACAAGTTCACCAGTAGGGGTCTCTAATCCTACATGTCAGGAGAATGACACCAGTGACAGGCTTCTGTTCGTCCCCAACATTTAGATAGATAGACACGAAAAGGCGGGACAGGAAACACACACAAGCAGGGTACAAATGTGACCCCTGCTCTTGGATTCCCATCCAAACTGCGCATTGTTACCAGCAAACCAAAACGAATAATCTTTTGTGCTTTTTATCAGCATGTCATGATTTTAGCTTTTTAGCTAGTACTTCCTTTGCATACAAGGGCAGCTTCTTTTAAAACAGAATTCGTAACATTGTAATGCTATAAGAAATAAAGAGACTTTTAGCATTACTGGCTAGTTAAGGTACCCGGACGGCCCGTGTGTATCTGTACAGGTTTCACCTATTGTAATCGAGCACTTGAGAGTGTGGGTGAATGACTCTGAAATAGTTCAGTCAAACCTAGACAACATCTGCAGTGCTCTGCTCTGGGATTGGACTGACAGGGCTTAGTAGTTCGCAATGGGACAGGAAGGCTGTGAAGGTGATTGGGCTTTATTAGGGGTGTGTGTGCTTGAACCGCTCCCTTTCATACAGGGCACTGTGTCCCGTAGTCCTCTCTGTCCTTGTTATTTCCTGAAGAAGAATCCCGAGCCTCAGAAAGGGCTCCTCTTGGACGTAGCAGCATTAAAATCCAACTCTCCAATCAGGGCTTACATATTGTCAAGTCCATCTGTTCTGGAGCGCACTAAACACAACAGAGAGGACAAAAATAAATTCAGTAGCAGTTTGTCAGTCCCTTTGCCCTGTGATGATCATCACAGACTCGAAACTGCTTTGTTTTCCAGTATCAGCAATTGATTATGCCATTGCAGGAGATATATTGCGGTGTTGTGGTGGTCATCAGTACTCCTTCCTGATTGTAGAAATTTTTCTTTACCAGCATTTGAAACCCTCCTGTGAGTATTTGGATTGAATCATCTCTGCTTGAAGGATATATTTTCTTTCCATTTTTCTCCACAGCATTTCAGAGGAAAGTGCATAACATTTTCTGGGAGTTAGAAGGTTTGTGAGTGAGGCTCGGGCCTCAGCTTTTCCTTGACTTGCATGAGTTGACCTTCCTGGCCTGTTCAGGCCTCTGTTTGGGAGCCAGTGAGGTCGCAAAGAGTTATTGAGGCTATCCCTTACCTATATGGTTTGTCCTCATTGGCCACTGGCTCTCATTAGGCACTCTTGCTATCTAGTGTCGTTCTACCCGCATGGCTTTTTTTTTAGTAGACACACATTCATACAAACAATAACACAGAAACTCATTCACTCACCTCCTCATTTACAGACCGTGACGGTTGGCTCTTATGATAGGTTAGTTCTGAATGGCTTTTAAGTTGATGAGTTGCAAAAACAAGGACAGCGGAAACCTTTTAACAGGACTAGTTTGAAGAATTGCCAGTTATATAGATGTGTCACAACTCCAGTGGTGTTTTTTAGAGTTAAGACTAAAAGCCAAGGATACAGATGTCCATTAAAGTGGGTTCACCTTGCTGTGAGACATGCAAGTAAAACCACTTTATTAGTAGATATATAGTGATTGTAGTTATTACTGCTCAAACGATGACTCATTTTACTGCCACTGTCTGCAGTATTTTGTTTCTGCATCTTAAGGTGCTGTTGAATGAGCAGTGTGACAGTTATGAATGACTGTGCCTTTGTCTCAGCATGAGTGACAGATGGAGGGTGCGCTGAGAGAGCACTATTGTGTCAAGAGGGCTAAACATAGAGACTGAGCCTTTAACTGTTTTGAACCTTATTGCGCGTTCTTCTCACTATTATTAGAATGAATCATTGGCTTGTTATTTTATGTGTCTGTACAGTTTTTATAAGTACATGTATTCAGTGAAGCAGTCGATGCCACAGAGACAGATGTAAAGTTTTCCTGCTGTTTCCCTTGGTGACATCATCAAAGAAATGGGCTAAATTGTTTTCCCTGACTTCCATGTTTTGATTATGACTCATATAGATTCCTGCCTTAATACCGCAGGGATACTTCGACAGTAGATATTTGATAATGTTCTTTTTACACAGTCATGTACACACACACTTATGCACACATGCCTCATTTAAAGAGCCAGGGCAGGGTGGTTCAGGAGAATGAATCATAAGGTTGCACCACCAGTACAAAAGTGTCCATTTCCTGTCTCAGCGTAGGATCACAGAGATGAGTGACAGCAGCAGAGCTGATGGTAAACAGAAAATATAATCTGCAAGGTGTGACCCTGCGTTATTATTAGCTCTCTGGACCCCACTTGGTGGGCCGACAGAAGTTCTGGGGATGCACTTGTTCTTCCTTCTTGCAGTTGCAGACAGGTCATATTTACCTCCATCTGGAGTATAGTCTTTCTCACCATCCTCCTGTAGCACCTGCACCTCATTGAGCCCCCCTTTTGCCTTGCGGCCCCGGCGGGTGCAGTTTCTGCGGCCTCCTTTAGGTGGCCGTGGCAGGGGCGAGGGTGAAGGCAAGCTGTACTGGTCCCCGTGGGGCAAGTACGGTCGCTGATGGTGGTTGTGATGGTTTCTGTGTCGATTCAGGTGGTTCAGAGACTCTCCATGCTCCATCTCCCCACCCGGGGCACCATGTGCATGACCCTCGCTGGACGAGCAACTGGGCAGCTCCTCTTTCTTCAGCGTTTTCAGGTCCTTCCCTGCAAGCTCTGGTGGTGAAACACACATGAGTGAGGAGGTGGAACCTCTGAACCTCCGCAACCAATCCCAAAGTGACAGGGCCTTGCAGTCACACTCCCAGGGGTTGTCGTTAAGTCGTAGGTACTCCAGTGCTGGCAGTAGAGTCAAGCTGCCACCAGATAGCTCAGTCAGGGAGTTATTAAACAGGTAAAGGGTGGTGAGGCGCCGCAGGTCATGGAAAGCCTGGCGGTCAACCCACTGGATTCGGTTCTGGTGGAGAAGCAGGCGGTCCAAGACCCCCAGACCACGGAAGGTGTTCTGGCGAAGGCTCCATAGTCGATTGCCATGCAGAAAGAGATGACTGAGGTTCAGTAGGTCGATGAACAGATCGTCTTCCAGGAACTCTAACTGGTTGTCCTGTCAGGATGTAGAAAGGTAAAATCAGAAGCTTAAAATTGGGTGCAGTGCATTACATTGAGCATCACTGATTATTTTATGGGTCATTTTACATTAATTCACTGTATTAGGATTTATTATCATTAAAACATTCTTATCGCTATTGTAATATTGATTACAGCAGTAGTATACTATGTATCACTTTTAGCTCAGTTCCAGCATCACACCAGAAACCGGTAACATTACAATATTATGCATTATGTACATTATACAACACAAAGAATAGATTAACAACAAAGAATAGATTAATAACGCACAGTGTAGGAAATAGCTGGACTATGCCAGGAATTCAGAGCCTGTATTATTTTTTGATGCAGGATGGTTGGATATTCAGTAATCTATACAGCTTCCAAAGGGCAGTAGCTTGAAAAGATGGTGAGAAGTGAAAGAGGGGTCAGAAATGATTTTCTTTGCACTTTGAGTGATGCGTTTGAGGTCGAGGACTCGGTTAGAGGAAGGGGGCCAATGGCTGATGATAGTGGCTGATCTACCCATGATTCTTGTTTGTTGTACTCCACTGTTAAATATGATGCAAGAATGCTGTCAAACATTTAAGCATTAACCTTTACCCTGCTCACTCAATGTCAATATCTTTTGATTTTCCAATCAATAGAATGGATAGGAGGTATTTTCATATAGCAGAAGCTTTTCTCCTCATACACTCACCATGTAATTAACAAAATCATATACTCAAGCCTGGATTTTAATTCCTGTGGTCCATCACAGAAGCTATGCAGTAGGTTACTAGTGTGAGGGCTGCTTTGTAGTATTTTCCCTGCACTCAGGATAACAGCTAGCATTTGATCAGCATCCAATTCATAGGCAGTAAGTGCTGAGCCAGGCTGATGCACAGATTACACCATAATGCGATTGTGGCAACAGATGCAATATACAGTAGAGATAAAAGAAGGCTGTTATCCATGTACCTGTAGGTAGAGATACTGAAGATTATGGAGGCCCGCAAAGATCCCTGGAGGCAGGCTGATCAGGCCACAGTGGTATAGGTGCAGGGCATGAAGTCTGCCCAGGCCAAGGAAGGTATCTGAAGCAATGGCATTCAGGTGCCGGTTGTCCCCAAGGTCGAGCTCCTCCAGGCGGTCAAAGCCGTGGAAGGTGGACGGTTGTATGTAGGAGATGTTGTTGGAGTAAAGCCACAACATGGTGGTGGTGGGCGAGAAGTGGCCGCGAAGCAGCCGCTGAATCTTGTTGTTCTGAAGGAAGACACGCTCGCTCTGGGCGGGGATGCCCTCGGGCACGGCATGGAAGTTGTGGGCCTGGCAGGAGACGGTGCTGGGTGAAGTGTAGCAGATGCAATGGCGAGGGCAGGGCAGAGAGAGATCCAGGCCACACAGCACCAAGAGTAACTCCACCCCACCATAACCTGGAAAAGGAGAGGAGGATGGAAATGATACAAGGAGATGGAGGGAAAGAGAGCATGAGAGAAAGACAAGCAGAGTTAATTGAATTCATACAGCAGAGCTCCTGTTATCAGACGCATCTTAAATGAAAAACTCATTGCTCTCAGTTTACAAGGACAACAATAGGCACGGTTCAGTGCAGACAAATTACAATGCTGACACAAATCTCGTACAAACGCACACACGAACGCGCACAAACGTTCATGTATTGCTTCGTGAGCCCATTCTCCACACATATATTTCAATCAATCCCAGAATGTCTACCCATAACCGTAACCTTGCCTTCCCTTCATTGTTATCTTCTTCTTAAATTGTTTCAAAATCTAAAACTCAGGGGACCATTTTTTCATGTTTTGCAAAAACCTTGAGTTTTGAATACCAAGAGCACCACACACAGACGCATAAAAACACTGCTCAGGTATACAAACACTTTTGGGAGAAGAGTGTGCTATGTTTCTTCCTTCTTTTTTATTGTGCTGTAGTATTAGTGTCACATACATACATTTTTATGTATGTATTCCTTGCACCTTGTTGATGATACAGCGCACACATACAGACAGACACACGCCGCACAGCGTTATATTCATTGGTTATCTTCTAAAGGCGACAGAAAATCGATGTTTCTCCTGCTTACAAGAGAACACGCACCACACCTGTAATACATTCCCACAATAAGGGAAAACCAAGAGAGAGGGAGAGAGAGAGGAGGTGGAGGATGAAGCGGGAATCATCTGCAGCATGCCTGTGAAGTGGATATTACTTTTTATTTTTCAGATTCCCCTCGTCTCAGTCATTATTTATTTGATTTTTTTTTTCCCGCCTTGGATCATTCCAATGTTTGATGTATTGTGGGGCCGGAGAGTTAAAAAAAAAAAAAAGGGGATGAAGGAAAAAGAGATTGGGGTGGAGACATGTTGATCCAGGGAGTAATTTCCGAACAGAAAGACAGACAAGTGATACAATATGAACATCATGTGCTGACATGTGTCCAGCCTGTGTGTGTGTGTATGTGTTTGTGTCGGTGACTTAGACAGATGTGATGGACAGATGTCAGGATGACCAGGACACTGCTGCTCTGTAAAGAACAACGTGTTCTGAAGCAGTATCAGAGCAGTATTATCCTGTGTGGTACACATGTGTCTGTATAGCTCTGTACACTTGTGTAACCACGTACGCACAGGTACCATCATGTGTTTCTGTTATTGTGTCTCTCTATATATGTTACATTTTATCTGAAACATAGTGTGAAAGCAGTGTGTCTGTTGTATTTGACAAGGCTGACCTTTTCATCAAAAAAGGAAAAAAAAAACAACACACAACAGCTGTTGTCATGGCAGCCCGTCTTCTGTCCTGTTGTACCAACAACAAATCAATGATTGGTTTGTTGTTTATTTATATATATAAGTATAAATATATATTAAACTTTCTTTTATGAGCCTACATTAGACCTCAGTAAATGTTTAAAGAATGATTATTAATTATATTTAGCCCCAGTAGCGGCATGGCTCTATGGACGACAATGTCTGTTGGTCGGTCCACCACTTGGATACAGACTGAACTATCAAAACAACTACTGCATAGATTGCCATTGAATTGTGTATAGAACTCCATGGCCCCAGAGCATGAACCAAGCTTTATTTTCCCCAGATTAATATTTCATTTTTGCAAATTGTAGCATACTAACATGCAAAACTAAGATGGTGAACATGGTAAAGACTGTACCAGGTAACTAAGATAACTAGGCCAAGTGAAGAACAAATTGATAACAATAAAAGTATACAAATGTAATTTCTTCTTTTAACAATTATTATACACATATGATTATACAGCGTGCCATTTTGTCATTTTATGTTAATAATCAACCAATGTACAAACTGAAATCATCAACTAGATAGCCTGTATTATTTACATGCACATACATATTTGCAGATGCATCATACTAGTCAAAATGTAATTAATTAATTCAAACTTTCACTGTTACATCAAATAGAGCATCTTTTTATACTTATTTCCATTCAGATAGACAAGATATTTTGATGTAAATAGTTTGGCCCTGTGATGTGTTTGTATTGATAGACTCACTGTTAGGATAGAGGAGAGTTAAATATTAAATATAAAAAATCCATTCACATTTGTTATTGATGCTTATGCTGAAGAGCTCTTTACAGCATTTCATGTGTGCAACTCTCTCCTTTGTCTCATATTTCTCACTTTCCCCCATCCTCTTCTTTTAACTGTCGTCTGTTTCTCATAGTCCGCTCATAGTTTTGATTGGTCAACTGTTATTGTTATAAGCTGGGACATACAGTGTGCATTCAGTCCCTCTGGGTATTGAAGTGATTTTATATCTCTGTTCTTTCCTCCTCTTCTCTACTCCTCTGCGTTATCTGTTCATCTGTGTTGCCCTTTGCTTCATGCTTCTCTGCCTCCTTTCTCCAGAGCGTTTATTCTTCCCTTCCTCCACAGCTTTATGAGCTGCTCTGTTCCGCCTGCTGTGTCTGTTAATTAGGTATAAAGCTGCTGTTTGCCTATGTATGTGAATATGTAAAATGTGTGCTGTATGTGCGTCTCTACGTCTGTGTGACTTTGTGTCTTTGTTAGTGTTTCTGAGGGAAATTCACTTCACAGCACTTGACTGACTTGTATCTTGGCTTGAATAGAACATTGCGCCTCATGTTTTATTAGATGCTTTAAGCTTATAGATTTTATTATAAAAATGTCACAATGGTGAAATTTAGCTCTTCGCTGTATATGTTATGGTTTTCATGTCTTGGTAAAATACGCTCTACATGTGACTAGAAAGGGTTTCATAAAAAAGATTACACCATTGTGGCAATTTTCTTTGTGCAACCCTCAACTGCACCACAAATGACAATTAGATTTCTCAGCTGCTAATGTAAGTTTACAGTGTTAAACTCACCAATGGGGTGTTCCCACTGGTCCCATTAATTTTTTTTTTTACATTAAAATTGTCTTCAGTACAAGTCTGCTTGACACGTACTTGTGATAGTGCCCCCAGCGTTAGTTTGCATTTCCAATCGCTTTTGCTTCCTCGTTGCCTTCTGTTTACCCCTGCAGTCTTTCATTTTTTTTCTTTTTGTATTTTCATCATCATCGCTTTATATCCGACTTCCTCCTTCATCCTCGTTGCCACTTTCATTCTTTCCAATTATATCCTCTCATGTTATTCAATGTGAAATATTGGGTGTACATGTGTGTTTGAAAAAAAATGTCCCTAGCTGAGTGTGTATAAATTTGAGCCCATCTGAGGAAAATGTGTGCAGATCTCTGCTTGTAGATTAACTGTGGGTGTTTCAATTTTACAGATTGAGAGATGGAAGTGATGATATTAGATAGAAAAGCTGCTGACTGCCATATGGCTTTCACACTGGGGGCAGCATATCTCCCACAAGCCTCCAGTCGTTTTATTTATTTATCATTTGCCTCGTAAAACATGGAATTATCTCTATTCACTCATAGCGTTAGTCTGCTTTAGACAGTAAGGCAGCAAAAGAGGAAAAAAAACGTTTGCCGTTTTAGGTTTCAATAGTATTTAGATAATGCATAAGCTGTTCTCAGCACCAGTGAGGGAAAGTCTCCAATCCTGCATCAACAACAAATTCTTGATACCTTGTTTTCCAGTGTTACAACATGTTTTCAAACATCTTAACTCCAAGTCAGCACATCCTTGGAATTACAAGTGCAGATTTTTGACTGTCACAGCACTAGCGCAGCCTTGAATACACAAATAGACAACTAATTTCAAATCAACAATTAGCAGAGGTATTGAGCTGGCATTAAGCCAAGCCTCGAACCTGTAACAACTCTCAGTAAGGAGCATCAAGGTACATAAAAATCTGTTTCACTTTCAATTCTTCATGACGCATTTCCCCATGTACCGCTGTTAAATAGGAAAATGAATCAGGGTGAGTTTCCATTAAAGTAATTCATGCCTGGTGTGAATCTCTGGTGAAGGGGCGTAATGTTTTAAAGCTCATTTGATACCTAACACCTTCTTAAGAGTGAAGTATTTTTAGTGATTTTGTCAACCAGGTGCTCTGTTGAACAAAGATGGAGAGCAGTGTGTGGGCTGCAGCTTAATTGTCTTATTTTTGCTTGAGCTAAATCATTTGCAAATTTCACTAACTAACTAACCTGACTGTGGGAAAAGAGAAAAAGGGAGCAATCAAAGATAATAAATACTTTCTCTTCTGCTCATCTAACATGTATAAAATACCTGAACATTATTGCTTCACAATTTGAGTAAACTTTACAATCACTATACATACATATATACATTCATACAGTAAATTTACAAGTATGTGGACACCCACACAGCATGTAATTGTTGATCATTAGGAACATGGCCATTCATTTGCTGCTACATAGCTCAGGGGTTAAGACACTGACCATAAACCTGTGGTTTGAGTCCAGCCAGGGACCTTTGTTGCATATCTCCTATCTCTTTCCCTGTCATCTCTCCACCGTCTGTAATACAGGCTTTGCATTCGTGAACACTGATGTTGAGTGATAAGGTCTGTGTTAGTCCCAAAGATCTTGGATGGTGCTGAGGTTAGAGGTCAGAATTTTTGGGACTGACTGATGATGTTTGTAGTGTAATTTGATTGGTCCAATATCTGTGCGGGCAGCAAAAACCTCCTAATATCACTATATCTGATAAGTTGTTAGCCACTGCACTTTGCCAACACCACAAATGGACCCATGAAAGAGAGACAGCTATTGCTAGCTAGACCCACCTATTCTGTATAGTGCAGGACAAACACAGCACTAAGTGTGTGAGACCGACCAATGATTCAGTCTAGCAGTAATCAGTGCTATAAACTTTCTCATTACAGAGTGAAATACAACCTTGAGTCCCCCCAAATGTTGGAGAAAGGGGCAGTATAATTTTAGTTTATATTCCCTCATACAAAAAGAGTTAATAATACAAAGTACAGTTTGG